CCCAAGAACTGAAAGCAGGGACTCAAACAGATATCTGTATAACCATGTTCACAGCAGCCTTATTCACAATAGCTAAAAAGTGGAAACAATCCAGGTGTCCATCAACAGATAAATGAATGGATTAACAAAATGTGGTATATATACACAATAGAATATTATTCAGTATTAAAAAGGAATGAAATTCTGACACATTCTACAACATGGATGAACCCTGAAGACACTATGTTAAGAGAAATAAGCCAGACACAAAAGGACAAATACTGTATGATATCACTTGATTCATAGAACAGAAATAGAATAGCAGTTACCAGGAGTTTGGAGGAGGGGAGAGAAAGCTATTGTTTAATGAGAACGGAGTTTCAGTTGCTTCAACAATGTGAAAGTACTTAATGCCACTTAATTTTACACATAAAAATTGTTAAAATGGTCAATCTTATGTATATTTTACTACAATAAAAAATTTTTTTAAATCAACATAATTTACCATATTCAGAGAATAAAAAAGAAAAACCATATGATTATCTCAATAGACATAGAAAATAAGACGAATAAATTAAACACTCATTCATGATAAAAAAAAAAAAACTTTCAGCAAACTAAGAAAAGAATTTCTTCAGTCTTATAAAGGACCTACAGTTCTTTGTGTTGAAGCACTGAACATTTCCCCTCTACCACTGTGAAGAAGGCAAGTATATCTACTCTCAACAGTTCTATCCGACATTTTACTGAAGGTCCTCATTAGTGCAATAACAGTAAGAAATAAAAGGCACAAAAACTGAAAAAGAAGTAAAACTGTCCCTATTTGCAGGCAACATGATTATGAGTGTAAAAAATGCAAAAGAATTAACAAAAAGATTAACAATCTTAACATTTAGCCAGGTCTCAAGATCCAAAGTCAACATACAAAATTCTATCATATTCTATTCGCTAGCAAGAAACAACTAGAAAATAAAATTAAAAAACAATCCCATTTACAACTACATGCAACATAAAATACTTAGTAATAAATTTGACAAAAAATTTTGCAAGACCTCCACCAAAAACTATAAAACGTTGCTGAGAAAAATTAAAGACAACTTAAATAAATGGAGAGATGTGCCATGGTCATGACTGGAAGCTTCAAGATTGTCAAAATGTCACTTCTCCCCAAAGTAATCTATAAACTCAACACAATCCCAAATCATAGTGTCAACATAATCATAATCATTTTTATAGAAACTGACAAGCTTATCCTAAAATTCATAATGGAAAAATAAAGGACCTAGACTAGACAAAACAATCTTGGGAAAACAACAAAAGCTAAAGAAGTTACACTAACTTCAGGACTTACTATAAAGCTATTCAATGGTTCTCAAATAGGGGCAGTTTTCCCCTAAGGGGACATTTGGGAATGTCTAGATACATTTCTGGTTGTCACCACTAGGAAGGTGCTACTGGCATCTTCTAAGTAGAGGCCACGGATACTACTAAATATTCAATACTGCATTAGATAGCCCCACAACAATCTGATTCAAAATTTCAATAGTGCCAAGGTTGGAAAACCCTAAACCACAGTAGTCAAGACAATGTGATACTGACATCAGGATAGTGAAATAGATCAATGGAACAGAATACAGATTCCAGAAGGTGACCCCCTAGGTCAACTATCTGACAGAGGCAATAAAGCAATTCAACGGAGAAAAAGGTGTTTTCAACAGAAGGTTCTAGAACAGCATATCCATATGTAAAACAATTAAACCTTGATCTCCACCTCACACCATATACAAATATTAGTTGCAAATGGCCCATAGACCTAAATAAAAGCTAAAATGATAAAGTTTCTTCTAGAAGAAAACATAACAAGAATATCTTCACAACCTAACAAACTATCTGAGAAAAGACTTAAAAGCAGAAAAAATAATAGAACTAAAAAACCTCTAATAAAAACACAATTTAAAATATGGACAAAAAGTGGAACAGACATTTCACAAAAAGGACATACAAATTGCTAAGAAGCACATGAATAAGTGGTCAATACCAATAATCATCACAGAAATACAAATTAAAACCAGAATGAGAAATACAAATTAATTCCACAAACTACATACCCATTAGGATGACTAAAATTTATAAGACTGAAAACAACCAATTGTTAGTAAGAATGTGGAGCCACCCAAACTCTCATATATTGCTTGTGGGTTGGTAAAATGGTACAAAAACCTTCAGCAGTTTCTTATAAAGTTAAGCATACACCTATCCCACGACCACTCCTAGGTCTTTACCCAAGAGAAATAAAAACATGTCTACAAAAGGCTTCATACAAGAATGTTCTGCTTTTTATTCATAACAGCCAGTATGTCTGTCAAGAAGTGAAACAAACTGTGGTATATTCATACAACAGAGTACTACTCTGCAATAAAAAGAAATACAGTCAAGCATGGCTTAAAGATGGGGCTACATTCTGAGATACGCATCATTAGGTGATTTTGGCGTTGCGTGAACATCACAGAGTGTATTTACAAAAATCTAAATGGTATAGCCTACTACACATCTGGCCTATACAGTACTGATCTTATGGGACCACCATTGTTGACCAAAATATTACGTGCACATAACCTTACTAATAAATGCAACAACCTAGAATAATGTCACAAATATTACGTAAAAGAAGCAGGCACAAAGAATATATACTGTATGATACCATATATATGAAATTCTAGAGCAGGCAAAAGTAATCTACGGTTTAAAAGAAAAGATCAGCAGATACCTGGGGGGATGGGTGAGGAGCAAAGGGATTAACTGGAAAGGGTCACTAGAGATCTTTCTGGGGTGACAGAAATCTCCAGTTATCTTAAGAGTGTTACACTGATGTAAACATTCATCAAAATTAAGCAGTTTTATGCATTACAATGTATGTAAATGTATCAAAAAAACGCCCTATTAAAAAAATCTAGTGGGGGGTGGGGAGTTGGAGTACTACTGAAACAAGAAATGGCAAATACTATCATTGAAAGGGGACAACGGGCACATGGGGGTTCGAACATTATACTATTCTGTTTACTTCATAAAGCCTTTTAAAAAATAATTTCTCTTGGGCCGGCCCCGTGCCTTAGCGGTTAAGTGCATGCGCTCCGCTGCCGGCGGCCCGGGTTCGGATCCCGGGCGCGCACCGAGGCACCACTCCTCCAGCCATGCTGAGGCCGCGTCCCACATACAGCAACTAGAAGGATGTGCAGCTATGACAGACAACTATGTACTGGGGCTTTGGGGGAAAAATAAATAAATAAAATCTTTAAAAAAAAAAAAAAAAAAAAAAATAATTTCTCTTAATTCCCCCTCAGTGGAGGAAGAGAACTGGTAATTGCTGTCCTTCACAGAAATTAAAATCTCTTATTAAGGCATTCTCTAAACTTTCTTTCACATGCTAATAATCCCTGTTCTTTACACTTTCTTTAATCTCATTCGTCTTAGTTATAGCTCACCTTGAAAAGTGTTCCTGTTTTCCAGATCTTGTTTATTTACTACCAATTATGGAAAGAAAAGAGCTGGAGAGAGCTAACACTCCTTTAGCCCCTACTACATGCCTGGCAATATGCTACCTACTTTTAATACATTACCCAACTTACATCCCAAAATTGAATTTAGCATCTAAAATTTTAATCTTATTTGTTTACTTATTTATTACTTCTCTCCCTCATGAGAATTTATGTTTAACAGCAACATGGATTTTATCTTGTTCACTATTTCTTCAAATCTGGCACACAGCAGATACTCAGTAAATATGTATAAATCAAAGAATTAAGGAATACAATATCAGAGCTCAAAAATACTCAGTTTAGCTCTCTTTTTGGCAGTGCAAATCATTTCCCACTCCAGTTATATCCAGTTTGTTTTGCTTTTAATCTTATTGGCATCTATATCAATTACTGTTATGTGTTTGTTTCAAGTGGAATAGGATGATCTGTGTTTGAGAACCTCACATTTTCTCTTTATTCAAAAATGTAATCAGAAAAATATTTTAAAATAGTAAATCAATTTACTCTATATATTTCACCATATCTTTAAATGATGTGTGACTTCTATATGTAGTGTTACTTTTTCTGCTCTTATTCATACAGATAAAGAAGAAAATCCTAACACTTGGATAGTCTCAAATTCTGTTATCATCATAAAGCTGAAAAACCCTAGCAAATATTGAGAATTGAGAGTTCCTTACAGAGGAGTAAACTGCAGTTAATAAGAGATTTATAATAAAAATTTGATCAATTTTACTTCAAAAGAACTTATCTAACAAACAAAACATCCACATAAGCCTAAAATCAAATTGTTAGTTACTTTCAGTGAAATATAGAAAATCTAAGTTTGTTGTCAGGGTACATTCTTCAGTAAACATTCATAAACATTCAGTTTATGAGTAAAACCACCAATACCTTAGAGTATAATTAGAGTTCCACCTCAATTTTGAATAATGTTTTCATTCTTAAACATCCTTAAAACATCCATAGGTTAAAAAAAATGGGGGGGGGCACAAATATTATTAGTAAATATAAATATTATAAATATATTATTAAAATATAAAAACTGAGTAAAATAGCTGGTAAAAACAGCAAGTTGGTTAAGACCAAGATTTTTCCTCATTAGCCAAGCAAAATACTCTACCATGAAGTTGGTAATTGCAGTGTTTCTTTAACAAAATTAAAAACTTTGAAAATAGATTTTCTAACACTCTAAGGGAAAAGGCAAGAGAGAAGTAAACATCAGGAGAAAGAGAAATAAAATCACCCACAAAGAATGACATTATACACATAAAATTTTATTATTTAAAAAACAGTTCACAAATGTCCTACATATATCGTTTGCTACAGATTCAAAACCAACTTCTTCCAGATGCCATTTTATGTTCACAGATTATACACAACTTTAAAAAACACTTAATTCAAATTTACCAAATGCAGCAAAGGGCTTAAAAATAAATTTTCAAAGTAAATACTCATTTAGAGACACCAGCAAATAGATCTGACCTTTTCAAGCGGCTTTCCCAAAGAGTTTCCAATCAGTTTCCAGTCATTCAAGACTTCTTCAACTTTGGAAATAAACCTAGGAAGGAGCAAAAAAACTTTCTAAATATGTAAATAGCACATTTTTTACTACTGTTATACAATTTCTTAAAAAATGTATTTTTTATATTTAACATTTCTATCAGAGAAGGCTAAGTTTAGCATTGTTAGTCTAATATGGACGTGGAATAAAAGTGGAAATAATCTTCTTTAGCCCAAGAATTCTTAGATTTTGATTTTTTTAAGTCTACTGCTTACCCAACAAAGGCATTCTGCCTTCTATAAAATATAAATTAAGGGGGACCAGTCCGGTGGCATAGCAGTTAAGTTTGCATGTTCCACTTCAGCAGCCCTGGGTTCACAGGTTCGGATCCTGAGCACCAACCGAGGCAAAGCTCGTCAAGCCACCCTGTGGCGGCACCCTATATAAAGTAGAGGAAGATGGGCACGGATGTTAGCCCAGGGCCAATCTTCCTCAGCAAAAAGAGGAGGATTGGCATCGGATGTTAGCTCAGGGCTAGTCTTCCTCATACACACACACACAGTATATATATGTGTATGTATATATACATAAATTAAGAATTAATAAATCTCTCTATATTAAAATGAACATAACAAATTTGGGACAGAAGTAAAAACTGACAGACTAAAATGACACCACTAAAGATAATTATGAAACTGATAGGCTTTTCCCTACCCTCAAAATTATTGATCTATTTAAATTAACTTTTCCTTTTTTTTTAAAAGATTTTATTTATTTTTTTTTTCCCCCCAAAGCCCCAGTAGATAGTTGTATGTCATAGCTGCACATCCTTCTAGTTGATGTATGTGGGACGCGGCCTCAGCATGGCCGGAGAGGTGGTCCGTCGGTGCGCGCCCGGGATCCGAACCCGGGCCTCCAGCAGCAGAGCGCATGCACTTAACCGCTAAGCCATGGGGCCGTTCCTAAATTAACTTTTCCTTTAAAGATATTTAGGAATTCCCTGATTTGCCTTCCTCTTCCCCCAAAAAAGAAAACATTATTTGGGAACTTCGCTCATTAAAATAAAACAAGTTTCAACGGACAGCTAGCAAGAAACTGCAAGTAGATTTGTCAGCTTTAAGGAATAACTGACAGATTTTAAGACTATTCACAACCTAATCTTTAAGTCTACTAATCAAGCAGACCTATTAAAAAGAGAATGAATTTTGGCTAGTAACATGCTCAATATAAGCAAATGAAAACTCAAATCTCAGTGGTGGTGTTAAAGACACATTAAAAGACACTTTCAGAAGACTTGTTATTACTCTAAGAAGCTGGCTTTTTATGTAAGCATGATGCAATCTAACAGCAGCATCACTCTCCCATAACACCTACGTAGTGTCGCTAGAGTACCTGAGTTAATTCTAATCAAAATATATTCAAAGGCATCAGGTTTTTAATTCTGTGACATTATAAATTAACATTTACATTTATGTTCTAAGATAGTAATGATAGTAATGATAAATCAGAGTTTTTATGATTCAACTGAACCTTCTAATTAATTCCTCTTTAAAAGTAAAGGCAGTTATTAATTAACATACTAATTCATTTTGGGAGGTTTCAGTCAAAAGGCAATGAATTATCAGTTTTGAAAGTGAGTGCTTCAAAAACAAATTAACATGTTAACAAAAAAATAAATAATAATTTAAAATGTATTCACAGGGCCAGTCCAGTGGCTTAGTGGTTAGGTGCCCGCGCTCCGCTGCTGGCGGCCCGGGTTCGGATCCCGGGCGCATACTGACGCACCGCTTCTCCAGCCACGCTGAGGCCGCGTCCCACATACAGCAACTAGAAGGATGTGCAGCTATGACATACAACTATCTACTGGGGCTTTGGGGGGGAAAAAATTAATTAATTAAAAAATAAAAAATAAAATAAATAAAATGTATTCATAGGGGCCGGTCCTGTGGCGTAGCGGTTAAGTGGGCGCACCCTGCTGCTGGCGGCCCGGGTTCGGATCCCAGGCGTGCACCGACACACCGCTTGTCAGGAAAGGCTGTGGCAGCATCCCATATAAAGTGGAGGAAGATTGGCACAGATGTTAGCCCAGGGCCAGTCTTCCTCAGCAAGAAAAAAAAGGAGGAGGATTGGCATGGATGTTAACTGAGGGCTGATCTTCCTCACACACACACACACTCTAAATAAATTAATTAATTAAAAAAAATAAAATAAAATGTAGCCATATGAGCAAAAATCTGCATGGGAAATGTACATTGCATTTATAAAGGTAAAAAATTGGAAGCTACCTTAATGCCCAACTGTAGCAAACAGTTGTAAATTAATGGTATAACCATTCAATGGACTAATATGCACCCATTAAAAATCATGTTTTGGGCCCTGTGGTATAGTGGTTAAGTCTGGCACACTCCATTTGGAGGCTCAGGTTTGTGGGTTCGGATCATAGGCGCGGACCTACACTACTCTTTAGCCATGCTGTGGTGGCGACCCACATACAAAGTAGAAGACGACGGGCACAGATGTTAGCTCAGGGCTAATCTTCCTCAAGAAAAAAAAAGAGGGAAGATTGGCAACAGATGTTAGCACAGGGCAAATCTTAGCCAGTCTAGAACTCAGGTTTCCTGCCCCTCAGAGTCAGGTCAGGTTTACGGCTGGTCTTTAAAAAAAAAAAAACCATGTTCTGAAAACCACTTGAGGAAACATTCATACATTAAATGAAAAAATAGAAGCTACAGAAGTAAGTATTAATATGGTTTGATACAAAAAGTTTACATCACACACACACAGATCAGAAGGAATCTTCCCAAAATATTAATAGTAGCTATCTCCTGGTGGTAGGATTACAGGTGATTTTCTTTTCTTTTTTATTCTACTATGAGGTATTATTATTATAATAAAAATAATTTAAAATGACCTAGCTTTCACAGTAAAAGAAGGACTATCTTAAAATAATTATTGCATGAATTCTATCAGTACTAGCTAAACGAGAAAAATAGGACTCTATCCTCAAAGTATTGAGATTTCACTAGAAAAATGTAATAATTTTATCCCTGAAAGCTCTCCAGATCTCAGATGAAGGGTCATTTCCTCTGACTCCTCATTCTATAATAGGTTCCTTGTTATATGCTCTTACAAGACCAGGTTTCTTTCCCTTGCCAGCTCCTATTTCAATTGTAATTACAGACTCATTTGTATTACTTAATTCATGTCTGTTTCTTCCATTAGACTGTACATTCAGGAAGAGCAAAAATCATCTGTTTCTACTGACCACCACATCCCTAATGCTCTGGATTGTGCTCGACACATGGGCACTCAATAAATATTTCTTCAATGGACAAACGATAAAAAGAGTTATGGGCTTCTACTCAGTCCTCACAATAAACTATCTGTATGGCTCATAACATACTGACAAAAACTTTCACTCAAACATTAAACTCAAGGTTTAAGAGACTCCAAAGTTTTACCTTTTCCCAGGAATTGTAAAACACTAGTTTCGCTCTGGAAACAAGAGCATAAAAGCCAAAAAACAAATTTCCTACTTTGTGGTAGATCTCATAATTGTGTTAACAATTATTTCCGAATAAAGAATTAAAGGATTTAATATTCCACTTCAGGATATTTTAAATATTTAACTAGGGGAAAGTGATCGTTTTTCCAGTCAATACTCTGATGTTTCCTCACTGACACCCTCCAAGATTCAGGTTACATTTTTCTAACTACCTTCAAGACAGTGAGGTATTATTCTAAATTCAACAGGTCTAAAACTGCACTCTTCTCACTTTGCCACTTTCATATCTTCATTCTTTGAGGCAAGAAACTGCAGTTTCATGTTTGATTCTTTGTACTCTTACACTTCATCAAGCACATCTATCTAAACCTTTGAAGTTCTATCTATCTAAACCCTCCCTCCTATCCTCATTTTCTCTCATCTCGAAATCACCAACCTAACTATGGACCAAAGTAGGTCACTCGCCTTCATTTTGCCTCATCTCTTGAAACAACTCTCACCATATCACTTTGCCATTCTAAAATCAAGGGTCTCTCACTATTGTTCTTTAATGGTTCTTTCTAAGCAAGGTGTCCTGATCAGCAACATCTGCATCACCTGGGAACTTGTTAGAAATGCAAATTTTGCGGTCCACCTCAGACGTAATGGAAAGTATGATTCTGATGCACACTGAAGATGGAGAATCACTGGTCTTAAAACACTGAATCTAAAGATTCCTTTACTCAGCTTCGGAAGCTGCCCATAACCTGGTCCTATCTTCCTTAATAATCTTATTTATTTCCTTTCAATGGACAGACTTCACTCCAGTAAAGACATTTCTTCCTGGAGTCCCAAAAGTTCATTTTTAACCTGTCTCTTCTCACGTCAGTAATTTCTCATGTCTAACCAACTACTTCCCACTTTCAAGGCCCAGCTCATTTCCTATCTTTTCTATGAAAATATCTCCAACAATTGTAATCCACAACAATATCATCCTTATTTAAACTACTATTTTTATAGTTAGTACCACTTGACTTACAATTTAACTATTTGCTGTTTTGTTTTGTTTGTTTAAACATATGGATTGAGATTTTTGTTTTTTGTTCTCTTCCATTAGTGTAATTCTGGATACAAAGTACTTGCTCAATAAAGCGTTGCCAGTGTAGTTGCCAGTGTAGTTACGTCTTACCAACTTTTCTTTTCTGCAGGGTATCACAGGTCAAATTATTATTCCAGCAAGGATCTTTTACATTTTCCTAGGTCAACCAATGACATGACATACACAGATTTTGTCTCCCAACCAGAAAGATAATAAAACGTTGCAACAAACTAACCCCTGACCGCAACACCCAGAAACTGAAGGGTCTCTGAGCCACCCAACAGAATACTTCTCATCTAAGCTATCACTCCTCCACAAACTTGGCTTTCAACTAATTTCAATGACACAACGATTTCACTCAGCTGTTCAATGGAGTTTGATAGGCACAGAAAGCCTGGGCACATGACCCACTGAAATGCAACAACTTGAATCAAAGCGTTCCAAAGCCACATGCAGACTATTTTAAAAGGTTATTCTAAAAGACAGAATGGAGATGGTGGGAGTGTGGCAGATGGACAACCACCAATGCTCTGAAGGCCTCCTCCTAAGAAGGATATACCGACGTATACAGGAGGAAAAAAAAGCACTGCGAAATTTACTGCTTAGAATAACAAAGAGTTAAACGGAAACGAAAAGTGGAACGGAAGTGGTAGCCACGGAAATTGTAAATGCGAGTGGGCAACAACCAAGATCTAAGGAAAGTGGCCTGCGAGTAAACAAAACTTTTTCTGAGAGCCGGAGTCTCAGGGGTTGGCTGACGGGGGTGAGCTGGGGCTTGTCAGACGCGAGACGCAGAAGAGGCCTGCAAGCTGACCAGAGAGGGGAGGAGGCGGAGACCTGCGGGCCCAGGAGTCTTAAGAGGCGTCACAGGTGGACCGTCTATGTTGGGGAAGCCGCGGGGGGACGCCGGGGCCCGAGGCACCCGTAACCAACGACACGACTCACTCACCTTTCCCATTCCGAGGCAGTGGTGAAGTCCGTGATCTCAAACACCTCGGACTCGGGCTGCGGGAAAGGGAAGGAAAGAAAGAGATTGAGTCTCGGGGCGCTGACGTGGAGGAGCGAACTTAGAGAGAGGGATAGATAAGGAGAAAACATTTCACCTCACTATCGGCCGCCATCTTGAGGAGCGCCGGGGCGGGCGCTAGGGCTGCCGGGAAGGAGAGCGGGAGGGCGAGGGGAGGAGGAACAGGAGGGCGGAGGGCAGGCGGGGGCGGGGCCCCCGCGCGGCACCGCCCCCGGAGGCACCGCCCCCTGTTAGTGTGTCCGGTTTGGAAAAGTCTTCTTAGGCAAAAATCATTAGATGAAAAAAAAAATGCTTTAAGTTTGAAATTTGCCTGTAACGAATTCAGGAAAGGAACAGAAGAAAGGAGATAAGACAAGGCCCTATATTCCTGTGGATAAGATTGTATTAAAAAACCTAAAGCACATTGAGTTTTCATTCAACCTCTATTTATTGATTGCAAGGCACTGAGCTAGGTGCTGTAACATCCACCCTCCCTCATCCCCCCTTAAAGAATTTACACAGTTTGGTTAAGTCATGAGATAAAATCATCATGCTAGTTATCTGGTTTCTGGGAAGAACCACATGCTGTTCAATGAACGCTTTACTTTTTAAGCCATTGAGGAACAGAAGAGTGCCAGCTAGCAGTTAATAATTATATCTCATACATACTAAAGTATTTACAGATATGATACCAGTCTAGGATCTGCTTGATAATAATGGGAGGAGGAAGTGAGTAGGGCTAGAAATAAAACAAGATTAGCTATGAGTGGATAATTGTTTAAGCCAGTAATGGGTACATGGGTGTTTATAGTATTTTCTCTACTTCTATTGGGTCTGCAATTCTTCATAATTAAAAGTTTTTAAAAATTAAATCTCATTTAATGAGTTTTTCAACCCACAACAAGGAATTTGGAGGTAGAGGACTAAGGAATTCGGCTTCAGCAATAAAAAATTTAATCTTAAAATAAGAGAGGTATCAAAAATTTGGTGATATAGATAGGGCAGATGAGGAAACTATGACCAAAAGAATTTGACAACAGATGGTTATTGCCAGTGCCAAGCCTTGAACCCCTGTCTCTTGATGTTCTTTCTAGTTTCTGTCCACTACACTAGTGGTGGGTAGTGAGTTACTACTGCAACAATCTTTCCCAAGAGGTCTCAACTTACACCTTCCTTCATTTACAAGCATTTATTAAACACCTACTATAAGCAAATCACTATGCTAGGCTCTGGGGATATGAAGATGTATTGTAGATCTAGTAGTCCCTGACTTCAAGGAACTCAGAGTCTAGTAGGGAAACTGGAAATTTGCTGCATGAACAGAAAGAGGTGCTACATGTATCAGCGTCACTATTAGCAACGTGGAGGTCAATGAGAACCTTAACAAGAAGAATCTTGGAGGAGAGCTGAAGGATAAGTTGAGAGCAGCCAGGTTGGAGGTGGGGAAGGTTTCTAAGCAGAGGGAATAACACGTCCAGAGGCTCAAAGGTAGAAAAGTCTGATCTGTCTAGTGAAGTGAAAGAGGGCACCTAGAGCACAGCGTTTATGATGAAGTTGGAGAGGTAGGCATGGGCCACACCACATAGGGCCTTCTAGGCTAGGGTTAGACCCTATTTGAAGCACAATAAAAGTCACTAAAACATTTTAAGCAAAGAGCAATGTGATCCAATTTACATTTTACAAAAGTCTGGATGCTCTATGAATATATTGGGCATGGGGGGGAGGTGGGTGCAAAAGAAGTAGGAACAGCTGGTCACTATTAAAGCATCGGGTGAGAGATGGCATGGAGGCTTTGATTAGGGTGGTGAACAGATGAGATGAACTTATTTGATATGTATTTTGGATATACAATAGACAGGACTTGATGATGGATTAAATGCAAGGATAAGGGAAAGGAAGGAATCAGGGAGAATTTTCAAGTTTCTGGCCTAAGCAACTGTATGAGGATGACGCCATTTCCTGAGATGAGGAAGACTTGAATGAGCAAGAAACCTTGTTTGGTTTGGCAAATAAGTTTGACAGGCTTGTAAGATATTCAAGGGGAGTTGTTAAGAAGAAAATTGGATATAAGAACTCAGAGGCAAAACCTGGGGTGAAGATATAAATTTGAGAGTATTTCAGATCACAAGAATAGATGAGATAATTTAGGAAGAGAATACAGAAGAGAAAAAAAGAAGCCTCATATAAAGGCCTGAAGAAATTTTATATTTAGAGAATGGATAAAGGAAAAGTATCCAGTGAAAGAGAGAGGAAAGGAGTGGCTAGAGAAATAGGAAAACAAGGCAAGAGTGATGGCACAGAACCCAAGAGAGGAGAATGTTTCAAGATGGTAGATATTGACTGCTGCTGAAAAAGCTAGTGAAACAGGAATATAGAGGCAAGGGTGATTGTTGTTGTTTCTTGGGTTTTTTGTTTGTTTGTCTTTATGGCCTAGGATAGTAGATATGTTTGTATGCTGATGATGATAATTTAGAAGAGAGAGAGATTGATGATGAAGGGGAGATGGAAGAGCTGAAGATCTTGGTGAGGTGAGAGGGGAAGAAGTCCACAGAGCGGGTGGTCACACAACTCCGGGAGGTGCCAATCGCATTGCATTCTGAAGTCTTGCCTCAGGAGGTGCCATCCACAGAGATCACCTTGTGAACAGTGCTCCCTGGAGTTGTGCAGCAAGGTGGTACCAGGAATTCAGAGCACGTATGACAGGAGGGCATGAAGGATATGTGGTAAGGTTGGCTTTTTTTGAGAAGGGAAAGAAGGGAAGAGAAAGATGGATACAGAGATAGATATAGGGAGATTTGTACATATAAAAGGAAAAGAGTTACTTGTTCACTTAATGTTTTAAGATTCTCACTAGTGTGAACAAGTGAAGTAAGTCCGTAGGTTTCTTAAGGTCAGATAAATCGAAGTTCAGCCATTTATAACTATATGACTTTGGTCAAATTACTTAACTCCTCTAAACCTCAGTTTCTTCACTAGTAAAATGGGACTTGTAATATCTCTTACTGCATAAGAATATGGCAAAGATTAAGTTCCATATTCAGTACATATGTAAAATGGTTAGCACAGTGTCCTGGCATGTAGTAGGTGATCAATTACAGTAGTAGCGTTTATAATGAACGTACTCTGAAAACCATAAAGTGCTACTCACATGTGGGCATTACTTTTTTTACCTCCTTGCTTAACTGTGAAGAAGTTTCAGTACATACCGAAATCAAAAACTAAAAAATCACAGAGACTTTGCTGCAAGAAGTTAAATTTTAGAAACTGTATGAAACAGCCTTATCAGGTTGCTAGGTAAAGTTTGCTTCTGAGATATTTTTGGCTCTTTGTCTTCTCCCCAGAGAAACTTTTAAAATAAGTTATTTGTTAAAGCAAAGTATGGAGCCAGGATGCTGATGATGTAAAGTACCCAGGGGAGACACACTTTTATTAGATTTTCACTGGTTCACAAAGCTGAAAAGATTTTATTTCTTCAGTATTAAGAGTTATTTTGCTACACATCCAAAGGCAAGGGCTTTTCCATGCAAGCGCATATCCTCTCTGGCATAATTTTCAGTTATTTCAAGGTGTTACCAGTAATGGCCACAGGGAGAATTTTGACACATAGGCAATTTAAGAGATTAGAAGCCTGGAAAAATCACCCTTGGCTTAGTCCTCAGAGGAATGTGGGGGCATAACACTTTAATTAGGTCTTAGTGAGAAAGCAAACATTGTTTGTTAGAGGAGTAACAACAGTGGGACTATACCATCCTTATCTATCTTGATGGCATCTGAGCAGGAAGAATCAGGAATTTTCTATGATCCTCCCATGAGAACAATTGCAATAGAAGGTACAGCTAGAAGAGGAAGACATACTCTGAGAACTCTTTAGAGAGAAATTCTCTAAATCAAAATTGTCAGACAGCATTTATTCATTCAATAATATTTGCCAAATACCTATTGTCTTGGAACTCTGGTCAATCTTATGGAGGGATTCAAAGAATAATCCCTGCTCTCAAAGTGCTCGCCATCTGGGATAAGACATGAACAACTATAATCTGGTTAGAAAGGGATGCATGATGGATATCCAATTTCTTAAAATTCATTGTAAAATCAGTGGTAGGAAAATATTCAAGTGACTTTTCGGAACACGCACACAACATCTCATATTCTAGATAAGTAGCCCGCTGTTTCTTGAACTGGAAAGAGGTATAGTCATGACGGCAAGGAATCTCCAGAGAATTTCAAGAGAAATGATGCAGTCTTCATTCACTCACCATTCATTCAGTCATTTCTTCCTTCAATAAACATTTTTAGGGGCCGGCCCCGTGGCGTAGCAGTTAAGTGCGCCTGCTCTGCTGCTGGTGGCCTGGGTTCGGATCCCGGGAGCGCACCGATACACCGCTTATCAGGCCATGCTGTGGCATCCCATATAAAGTGGAGGAAGATGGGCATGGATGTTAGCCCAGGGCCAGTCTTCCTCAGCAAAAAATAAATAAATAAATAAACATTTTTAGAAGTAGCTGTTATGTGCCTGACACTGTTCTAGAAAGCGGGAAACAAAAGTATAAAAACAAGGTGCCTGCCCTCAGGAAGTTTTAAGTACAAAGTAATTGAAGTCCTTCTAGATGATAATAATGTCAAGAACAGCCAGTTCCAATTCTTAAGTTTGTAACTTAACTTGCCTGGTAGATTCAGAAAGGACAGTACTTGCTGGCAGGTTGATTTAGTTTGCCCAAGTTTATGTGTTTCTATTTTTAAAATATTTTGATAGGTGTGGAACTCAGAATGTGGGAATTAATTGAAAAAGAATTAATTGAAAAAAGTCATGAGAATTTGTGTGTAAGTTTACAGAATAAGCATATTCTTCTAAGCATATGTGTGTGATGTACGTACAATTAATTACTATATTTTACATAGGCATATTCTTATTTAATCTCCAATCTTTCCTTGTTAAGGATAGTGAACTATTCTAGCCACAGATGACTAATAAGTGCAAAATCATAGACTTAATCCTGACCTTCTTTTGTACTGTACTGTTCTAAGACACATTAACTGCTTTACATGAATAATGTCTCCAAATGCTTGCTGATCTGCTCCTCAGATCCCTTTTAACGTTCACTTCAGTCTAGTTTCTAACTAGACTAGATGGACGGATTTCCGTCTCAACTGC